ACCTTCTGCAGAAGGGACAGTCTAAGATCATGCTTGTTTCTACTGCTACCTTTTATGGTAGTCTGATTTTGGTTACCTTGAAATTAGGTACATTGGAGAAATGAAGAGCCTTTAGCATATATACATCAAATGCACAGTAATGACTTCTTCATTTACATGTCTTTGAACGGTTTAAGGAAAAGGATGGACGGTATCCTGTTCACCTTTGAATCCCCAGAATCCTGGATAATGCCTGGAACCTAATAGAATTCCCATGAATATATACTCTTCAATGAGTAAAGATGTTTTATGATTATCTAATGTCTCAGAATCCATTTCCTACCCCAAATCTGCCATCATACTTTATAGTCTTCATCTGTCTCTGTTTATCAACTACAAAATAACAATAATTAGGACCACCTATATAAAATGACAAATGAAAATGTGGTATACGTGTTGAGGAAACAGGAAAAATATTGTTTTTCTTGCCATAGGAATATCAAAAGCTGAATAACTTACCATTCTCCCAAAGTAGAAAAACCAATTACAATATCAAAAAACATCTTTCTTTCTTTCTTTCTTTCTTTCTTTCTTTCTTTCTTTCTTTCTTTCTTTCTTTCTTTCTTTCTTTCTCTTTCTTTTTTTTTTTTAAGAGAAAGATGTACTGGATAAGAAGAAGCCCTACAGCAATCCCATTTGTGTTTCATAGAGCTCCAAATTTTAGTTTGATTCCAGGCTCTGCCCATTTCTTGCTTTCGTAAGTTCTGAAAAGTCAATTACTCTAAATATAATCTGCAGCCTTAGGAGCTGACACTGTCAAGTAATTTAAAGAGCTTTCCTAAGAAAAACTTTCAACTCTGTTTTATTCTAGATAATGTTACAGAAGTAATTGTGTATACAATTAATCTACTCCTGGTGTTTGCTATCAAATCAAAGTGCTGAAAATTTGGATATTCTGATTGAAATGCACAGAACAGAGATGATTGGCTCTCCTTGCTTCTGCTGAGTGGCATCCATTCTTCTGAATGCCAATTAGGGAATAAACTGGTACATGTTAAGGTGGTTTCACATGCTAACTTTCACAGAGCTAGCTCATATTCTAATCTAAGACGTAACTGTCATACCAGTACATGTGTGCTTCTGAAATAGTGTGTGGGAAATTCTCAAGTGCCCTAAAATAAATAAATAGTAAATAAGTAAATTAAAAAAACAAAACATATTGCACCTTAAAGGTGAGGCATCTTTTTCAACACTTTTGGTTGTCTTTTTCCATTTACACTTTGGTAAAAAGTTTTCCTAGTATGGTACCTTGCACTTTGTCAGTGCTTGATAAATCTTGGTTGAATGAACTGAAAGATATATTCTTATAATATCCTTTTTGGGGCAGAAGATCCTCAGTAAGTAAGATATACACTCATGAAGACGGTGGCTTGAGTATCTTATCATTATAGAGTTGAATAAGGGCTTGTCCATCTAAGTTTTCATGTACCTCTGAGGTTTTACAGATTATTTAAGGTCACAGTGGAAAAAAGCAAGTGATGATGTCAAAAATGGAACAAGAACCCTTGAACTTTTCCCTTGAATTATTGGCTGCATTTCAAAAAATATCTGCTCAGAGTGATATTTTCCATTGCAGAGGAAGTAAATAATCTCTGAATACTCAGTTTTCATGAAGAATGGACAGTTACCTAATGAATGTACTGACCATTGAGGTAATTTAAGGTGAAAGTGCAGCACACAAAGTGAGCTCTAGTCTGCTGTTGTTTCAACGCACAAATTCATTCATTCATGGGGTTGTTTTATGTACCCTTAAGACCTGAGTAAAGGACAGCTTTCAGCCATGATGTGTTCCTGAAACAGGAATCTGTCTGCTTGTCTGCAGATCTTATTTCCTTGTTTATTTAATCACTCAAAGGTTTTCAGCTGCTGCTGTGCCAGACATGATGCTAAGTGTTAGGGGTTTAGCAGTGCAAAGAACAGACATAATTCCACCTAGTGAACTTTGCATTGAGTGTGAGACAGGAGTTTGGATTTAAAATCATATAAATAAATGTATAATTATAAATTGCTTGAGTCTTATGAGAAAAAAAAGAGACAATGTAATAGGGGACCAGATTTTCTTTCAGGGAGATTTTCTGAGGGAGTACAATTTAAGCTTCAATCTAAGATGACCAGAAGTTAACCAGGCAAAGTGTAGTAAAGAGCTTTTCAGTTTGGGGAAAGAGCATGTGTGAAGTGCTTGAAATAGGAAGAGATTTAGTGGATTTTGTGAATGTGAATCATGTGATCAGCAAAGGGAGAAGTGAAATGAGGTGCTTAAGAGGCAAGCAGAGGCCTAGGTCATGCATAGCTTGGATGCTGTATTAGTAACTTTGCATTTTATACTAATGCAAAAAAAAAAAAAAAGAAAGAGACGTGATCTGTATTTTTTTAACAGATCACCTTAGCTGTACTGAGAATAAATCAGGACAACAACAGAAGTGGTGAGACCAGTTAGGAGGCTATTGTTGGTGGGAGATAATGGAGGCTTGGGTTCAAGTGCTAGAAATAGAAATAGAGGAGAATGAATAGACATTTTGGAGGTAGAATCAATAGGACTTGAAGACAGATGGAATGCTGGATATGAGGGAGAACAGGTATTAGGTATGGTTCTCAAGTTGTGCCTTGAGCAATGAGGTAGATGAATGTGCCATTTACTGGGTTGGGAAAATGTGGAAGGGGAGAAAATTGGGATGAAATCAAGAATTTTAGTATCAGCGTATTGGTGACAATGCCACTAAAATGGGTGTGTGTGTGTGTGTGTGTGTGTGTGTGACTTTTTTGAAACTAAGGATAAGATATGAAACAAAAAAGAAAGAGGGGGAAAAAGAAAGGGACAGAATTAGGCTAGAAAACAGAATTCCCAATGGGGTGATGGAGGGTGAGGGGTGGAGACTGGGGCATATCAGGACTGCTGAAGGCATGTCATCAGAAACACACGTATTCAACATGATACTATATATATATATAACATGATACTATATATATATATATATATAAAATATATATATATATATTTTACTTTGGGAAAAACAAACAAACCATGGTCTTTATAATACAAATTACAGAAAGTAAACGGAAATAGAATTGTTTCTGGTAGATCCACACAAGAGATAGAGTCCACCATATGGTTGTTGGTGAGTTTTAAGAGAGGAGGCATCAAAATCTCCAGGAGGATGCAAGGAATGTGACTTTTAGGTTCATCAAATAGAGAGCACGGGTTATCAACATTGAGCCAGAAGGGAGAAGAGAAGGCAGTATAAAAATAGAGAAAGGAGAGAAAAAATGAAATGGGTGGAGAATTTTTCCAGCAAGCGAAGACGTCTCTGCCATCATGCCTGTGCTGATGCAGGTGCCATGGTCCCCTGGGTTTGAATCCCAGCCTTGCCACTTATTAGCGGATGATCGCGGGCATGCCAGGTAACTTCTAACCCTCAGTTTTCTTACTTGTAAAATGAAGATATTGATAACATCTACCTCATAAGGTGATTTATCAGGGTTACAAGATATAATTCGTAAGAAGAACTTAACAAAATGCCTGGCACAGAGGAAAGCTAAGTGTTAGTTGACTTTGCACAGCTGATTATAGATGCCTAAATACCAGGAAGTCATTATTATAGGTTTGCGCACCTTCTGCTTCCCTCTGGTTATGTTAACTTTGCCTTCTTAGCTTCAAAATTGTTGTATCAAGAGGTAGTTTCATGATTTGTTAAAAATATACAAAGATTTAATGAATGTTTATAAAGCATTCTAAAATGATATTAGGCTTTAATTGTTGCAAATTAGTGAAAATGCCCCAGCTGATTACATGGCCAAAAATTCATTTTCTCATGTATTTCTAGAAATATTATGTATAATTAAAATTTGTTATTTAACTCCTCTAGAAAGGCCAATAATTGACTTTTAGCTTTTCCTTTGGAAATATAAAAGAAAAACAGAGATGATGTTCTAAGGAGACCCTCTTGATATATCCATTTACACTTCAAATCATTCTAAAATCTGTATTTCCTCAATCTTATCAGTATTATAAACATATATGATGGTATTCTATCCGAAAACATAACTAGATAAGCACTTCATTATATGGAGGAACATCATGACTGAGATCTCCTGATTTAGTTAACTGTAACTACCTTAAGGAACACTAGATTCTCATTTATTACTCTCCTCTCTCTGTGACTTTTGCTATTGTGTGAAGATGAGGTTTTGTTATTTAGCATACATATACTTTAGAATTATATCCAGCCTTCAGACTTAGAATGATTTGTTTACAAAGTCGTGGAAAAACTCAAAACATTCTAAGCCAAATCTGAAATCAGCATTTATTGGCAGTATCATACCAAGGACAATGCCTTAACTTCTTTGAACCCTTGTTTTTTAATATAAAATGGGAGTAACTAAGTCAAGAGAACATGGTAAACACCTACCGTGATAACCATAAGGTTAAAATTCTTTGTGATTAGATAGAACCAGATAATTCTGTAGTTTGGGGCAAACTGTTTAATATCTAAATGAGTGAACTAAGTATAGTGTTAATTTAATATTTTCATTAAAATATTAAATGGCAATAATAGTACTGAATTCTTAGGCTATGCTATGCCTGGAGCATAATAAGTGCTTATTAAATATTATTCAAAAATGTATTGAGTACATGCTTTCATCCTTCTATATGAGGGAAATAGTGCTAATTAAATTCCGAAATTAATTCTTCTGGAAAAATATAATTAATACCCTATTAAAAATGCATGGGAACCAAGAACATTTGGAAAAACATGTGATCATGTTTGAGTGCTCTGTGATCACACTAGGCAAAAAAAAGGGCAATGTTCTTAATTTCTCCCATTGCACTAAACGAGCAGAACATCTCTCCACTGAGGAAGATGTCAAGTTCAAGAGAAATGAGCAGAGCTGGCCTCTACCCATTCAACCTTGTTGAAGCACATGCAATTCGAGAAGATGAAGTGAGGAAGCGCATGCAGTACCTGGTCATCTCAGAGTCAGGGAGCAGGCCTAGGTGGTAGTGGGGGTAGGGAGCTGAGAGAAGGAAGCTTTTGTCACACTCAACAGGGGAATAGTGCCTGGGAGAAGCAGGCTTATCACACAGTTTGTTCACAGTGCTGTAAACAGGTTCCGGAGGCCTGGTGACACAAGAGGAAGAGAGAGACGCACGGTTAGCATACAAACCCAACAACTGTGCTACTAGCAGCATTTCACCATATGCAAAAGCAAACACCCCAATCAATGCCTTAGGCTGTTAGACTTGGAGAAAAAGTCTTTGTAAGAAACAGTATCTTTGGTTAGAAATTAGAACTTTGGATGAAATTGGGCATGATGAAAATCCTGATGCCAGATACCTCAATGGAGTCACAGTCAATTTACAAATGCCATACCTTTCTGGATAATGAAGTCTGAAGTGCCAAAATTTGGGCTCCTCTGACATGGCGCCATTTTCATCTTTAGTTTCTTCTTTAATGTAAACTTTATAGAGACCTTCCTGACTCCACTGGCCAAGACATCTTGTTATTTGTCACAGCACCCTGTCCATACTTCAATATTTTTTCTGAGCATGAAATAATCTTGTTTGTTTTGCTTAATTTATAATTATCACTCCCACTACCCTGTAAATTTTAGGAGGACAGAAACTACATTTATTTTGTTAACCACTTAGAGTCAGTCCACATTCCATAAATATTTTATATTCATATATGAATGAATAAATTGATAAAACTTCACATATTTATGTAGTAATTTGAGGGGGCGGGGTTGGCCTTAACTAGAAGTCTAACTGCTTATATGATCTCAGTGACTCCTCTATATATTTACTTACAAATTGCCCTACCAACAATTAGTTTCAGAGAGTTTTCTACTTGAAGGATAATCACTTTAGTAAAATTTCTTCTAAATGAATAAATCTGGAGATACTAAAACATTATCTAAAATAGCAGCATCTTTTAGTTGTTACAAATGTGCATAGTGAGATCGGATAAATTTCAGCTATAACCTTTGCCAAACATGCATGTACTGCAAAGTCCTTGGTTATTAAAAAAAACAAAAACCAAACATCTCACAACTCTGTACCACACTATTTTAACATACAGTCTGAAATTGCTACCATATCTTCCATTTAAGGTAAGAATTAAAAGATCCAAATCCAAATGGAATTGGAAGTTCCTATAGTCTGTGTGGGAAGATAAGGAGCAGGTCAGGAAACAGGCCTGTGGACACAAGACCAGACCCAGATGAGGGAGAGAGCACCCCTTGGGTCGATGAGACATCAGGGGAAGTAAGTGGTGGCCATATCCCTAAGCAAAAGTAGAAGTATCCATGGTGAACTCAGTGAAGGCACAGTCCATGTTTCTGTAACTCCCAAAGTGGTCCCTAATGTCTTATAGTTGCTCAGTCAATGCTTCTTGAACAGAGCAGAGGAGAAGAGAGGATAAGCAAAGCAGTGAAAATAAACTTTACCTAATTTATAGTATTACTGTGGGCCAGTCATGGCTTAACACTATCTAGATAATTAGTTTCTTCCCTAACACGAAGCCTTCCTTAACATAGCAAGAGATGACTTGATTTCATTTGTTTTCTACAACACAGTAGAGGGGCTGAGGAACGGACAGTCCAAAGACTTATTTTGTCATCCAAATAACTCTCAGTGGTAAAATGAGGTGTTTTATAATGGAGTTGGCTTGCTCTATCTCAGTGGCTAATAAAATAACATCTACAAGAATAATTTTAAAGGTTCTTCAATGAAAGAGCCAATTTTTTTTCTCATTTTATGGAAGCTAGCATATATTCTTGTTCAGACAAGTGCTCCATTTTCAGAAAAACCTAGTGAGTTTGTCAATTTCTGTTTATCAATTATATAGAGTATACACAATTCATAATGACAAACACCAGCCCTTAAAAAAGGCAGCTGTAAGATCATTTTTAAGAAATGTTTTTATCAAAGGAAAAGAAAGAAATGTTTTTATAAAAAAAAGAAATGTTTTTATCAGTTTTTATAAGTAATTCACACTGTGTGATGTAAAAGGAAAGATGGTTTCAGTTATACACTAAAATATATCTTTTAAAACAGATTTAATGCTGTTTTGATTTTTGGGGGAGTCTGTTTTTGAATTGTTGATATACTGAGCTTTATGAAGATTTATGTGTATTTCCTATGGTTTTGGAGACAGAAAGACCCATGATGCTGGTCTGATAAAGAAAAGTGGTTTGGGAGATCAGTTTTGTCTGAACTGAAAATGTGGTTATCCAAACAAAAATTCATCTTGGATCGGGCTTTGTATTAATGAGATACATAACTATCAATTAAATAAGATATGAGGAGGAATGTATGAGCTCTATGGGAATTTTTCTGCATAGGTTATCATAAGAAGACCTGATAATATTTTCTACATTTTCTGCTTATGATTTAGCTGCCTTAGCAGAGATGGCTGGATTGCCTCCCAAACGTCATTACTCCCTTATTAAGAGAAAGCCAATTTTCCACTAGTCACTTTTTCTGTAGTTAAACTTTATGTCTCAGTCTCCCGTGAAGGTAGATGTGACCTAGTGAAAATATTCAGTCCAATGTAATTGGAGCAGAAGGACTTTATGGGACTCCTCTGATAGCCTCCTAAAAGGGATCTGACTTACCTAGAACCCCTGTGATTTTGCTCCTTCCCATTTCCTCCCTTTGCTTACCTGGAACCTGGAGATAATGGCTGGAGCTTCAGTGGTCACCTTGGACCTGAAGCAACCTTGAGAATAAAAATAAACAATATAGATAGTGGAGCATAATGGTTACTGTTACTGATGATAAGGAGTGATACTATGTCACTTCTGGACTTCCTACCTCTGGATTTCTTTTGAGATAAAATATGCTTATGCTAGGTCATTTTTTGTTGTTATAAATGAGACTTATTATAAGTCTTAACGGATATACTCCTGCAAAATGTAAGACTGATATTCTAATACAAAGAAAAAACTATAGAGGTGCCTAGGAGGCTCAGGCAGTTAAGCGTCTGCCTTCATTCGGCTCAGGTCATAATCCTGAGGTCCTGGGAGCCTGCTTCTCCCTCTCCCTCTGCCTATGCACTCGCTCTCTCAAATAAATAAATAAAATCTTAAAAGAAAGAAAGAAAGAAAGAAAGAAAGAAAGAAAGAAAGAAAGAAAGAAAGAAAGAACTATAGATAGGGCCTACCAAAAGGGGCTAATACATTTAATTATTTTAGAGGTCCTTCTGACACCTTTTGTATACACAGAAAAAAAAAAGAATGCTATTTTCTGGCTTTGTTTAGAGACTGTGACTATTTAGAGAACTCACTGCATCTTTATTAAAAAATATTATATATATAAAATGGTAACCAATTTAAACTGCCAGCACAGGGCATAAGAATAAGGGAATTGATGACTTCTTTTAGGTCATAAAATATTCTCATGATGATGTCATTTCAGTTAACATTGTGCTTTCTGCCTAGGAGGGCTGATTTAATTTTCTGTCTGCTGTTGACTTGACAGACCAAGAAAATGATGTTACCAATTTCCTCCTAGTGTTTTTACCTCTGTAAAAGTATATTTTGAAACAAATGATCAGAATGAAACCTGGATAATATTTATATTAAGAAAAAAAAAATCCTACTTGGATTGTACTCAACTAAATGAAGAGGAAAACACTCTCTGAACACTACAATAAATTCAAGACAATAAAAATTAGGCCCTACACATTGTCCAGTGTTGAACTCTTAAGATCTTTACCTATATCCTTTTGGAATCATCTTATGGACATAATATTATTTCATAACTCACTTATTTTAGTAGATTTGGTGTTGAGGACAGGCTTAGATAACTTGAATTTTAGAAGAGGGACCTTATATCTTTGCCTACAGTCACATTCAGAATGTTTTCATGGTGGATTGATTCTTTGCCTAGGCTTAAGGATTCATGATTCAAAGTCTAATCAAAGCAGAGATACAGCTATTGATACTCAGGCCCATTTATACCTACTGTTAGTCTTTCATCCTTTATTTATTTACCAGTTATTTTGTACAGTTACTGACTATTGAGTAGACATTTCAAATCTAGCTTAATTGTGAGAATATTTGCTATCTCAGAAGATGGATAGCTGAAATTACCAAAACATAACAAAACACTCGACAAACTTGACAGAGCTTTCTTGCAATATTCACCATGTTCTCTTGCAACCAAACAACTAAATTAAAAATATCAGTGAGAATGTCCTTTCAAGTGGCATAAAAATGGAGTTGATGTTTGAAGATTTCTGCCTGCTAGATTCATTATGGTCCTAGAATTCCATTGTGTATTACGTACAATATAGGCCACAGTACAATATCCAGTAAGTACTACAACAAGCTACAGTTTGAGCATAGGAAATGGCATATAGTAGGTACTTGAGAACTGTTTCTTTGAATACATGGATTTTTAACAAATTATTCTCCATTGAGGAAAATGAAAAATATTTCTGGCTCTTGCAAGGAAGCCTTAAGTTATTCTGAATCTTCTAGCTCCATTTGAAAATTTCGGCCATCATTAATTCTCATAGGTTATCTGGCAAGACAGAAACCCCGATGGTGTCAGAAACTATTGGCTTTAAGTACTTGCTGTGCATGGTTCACCCACTCTCAAGGGACAGGTTTTGCGCATCTGCAAGCCTGGCTGTCGCAACACCTGCCCACAGTTCCTGTAAGGGTCATCCCTCAGGCTCAGGGCACAAAGCATTCTCAGGCCTGAGTTCCAGAAGTAGTAATGCCAAGAGTCAGCATTCTTAGTATTTCTCTGCAGTGATATTCTCCATGACCTCTCCACCAGACAGACAAGAAATGCCAATTTATGAGCTGTCATTGGGATCTGGGTGGCAGGAACAGATGCCACCATCAGTTCACATTTATTCAGTAAGGAAGTGCCATGAGGAAATGACTTTAGGCAGTGTGAATCAGCCAGTCAAAATGAAAGAGCCTGTTTATCCTATTATAAACCTCCGGAGTCGCTTAGGTTAGGAGGTAATGAATATGGAAATCCAATCTGAGGTACCTCCTGTCTCTCTTCTTTCTGTAGATGCCCCCAGAAAGGGGGAAAAGTAGTTAGAGAGATTAGTGAATTTATAAACAAATCATTTGTTTTGCTGTCCACTTATCAGGG